ATGAATTATTAATTCAATGTTATAAAGTAAAAAAAGTAATGAAGATGCACTAGTTTTATTTATTTTTATCTCTTACTTACGAATAGTCAAACTTATGGTAGGGCGCCATGGAAGGAATTTAATTGAAAAAGGGCGCCGCGACTAGGAAAAGTTTGAGAACCATTGCTATAGATGGATAATTCTAATAAACCTTCCTCTTTATTCCATTTTGCGCAGGTGTTGTGAAGTCAAATGCAGAGTCTGTCGAGAGCGAAAGGTGATGCACCGTTGTAAATCGCTTCAAAACGACGAATACATCATGACAACCTCCCGGCATAGCCTCCTCCAGATGGTCTGATGCAGAATGCCTCAAAGCAAGCACGCAGCAGCCTTAGCAGTTTCTGAAGGTTTTGTGGAATATGTTCAAATTTGCCCCATTCTCAACATGTTCAACGAAATTTGTTAACTCATAGCCTTCCGCTTATTTATTATCCCCTTGGCCAACCTCATCGCCTCTATCCTTTCCTCCGCCTCCAGTTTTTCCTCTTCCTGTTCTTCCTTGTTCATCAATGTCCATACTTGCATCTCTCCCCTCATTCCACTAAATCATCTCTTCTTCCCTACATCCCCAGCCGGACAGCCATTAAATCTCTGTCATAATCTCATCTGCTGTCATCGACATCAGCACCATTACTGCTACTGCTGCTTCTGCAACAACCACTACTACCCATACCACTACTACTGCTACTATTTCTCTCTTATTTCTACTATTACTGTTCCCATTTTCAGAAATAACCTTTAACTAATACTATCTTGGGGGAAGTATGATTTTTGTTTAATTTTCAGTATAAACTTTTATTCGGCCCTTCATAAAGACTGATAAATTTTTCCGATTTACTCTGTATATGCCCTAAAATGATAGCATGCTCTCATTTGAACCATCTACCCAGCTAACCCGTAATTTCCCGATGGCTGCCAACTTCTTTTGGAACACAAGTCGAATAGGCTCACTGAGCTGGAGACCGCCTTTAATGGCTTTTTAGATGTAATTTAGAAGCAACAGTCTTAGTTAGCTTCGTTTGCCTTGACCTCTAATTGGCAGTTTGTTGTGGTGTTCTCACACCTTTGCCCTAAAACCGGAGAATTGGGCATTGGTCCTCATCCGCCGATTCGAGGAGATTGACTCTTCCTTCAACTCTACACGACCTGTTTTGACAGGCTGTTCTGACAAGAGCTGGAGGCTTTTTGAGGAGCCGTGCTTTGTACTCTGTGCCCCTTCCGCCTATTGGTTGTGTAAGAAGAGCCCCAAAAAGCAGTTCTATCACCATATCATGTAAGTCTTCTTTCATCTCGAATGAAGGCTTGTGGGCCTTCTATTATCAGAAGAGCAGCAATCCATAATTTTGATTGCGATGTTTCGGTCCGTCATCATTTTTTCTCTTTGCCCCAGAGCTGAAATAGTGAAAATTCTCATTTTATGTGAACATATTAAAGCATATATTTATATTTTTGGTCAGGAATATATATCTGCATATATATATATATATATATATATGTTTTCCCTCAGTGTACTAAGAAAATAAATAACTTCAATCGAAATTTTTATCTATGTAATCATTTTTAACTACATATACATTTTAATAGGCCTATCTTAACTTTTTAGAGCCACCGGACAGGGACTCGAACTCAATCTGAGCATAACCTAGGGTGAGCATTGCATATGCTCAGCAAGTCGGGGCTACATGGTTTACAGGACGGAATCGGCTTTGCTAGCCTCAGGAAGGATAGAAAGTGATTAGTTGATATGAATAACAAGAAATCACTACAGTCAAGAATGATAATTTCTAAATTGGCTGAAATTAACCTGTTGGAGCTTTCATTAAAAGGAGGTGGAATTTGAGCTCACGGATGGCCAACCTCAAGCGATCTTCGCGTCTCGTTGGTTGCCTAGTGACCCAGGAAAAAAACTCTTTTCATTCATTGGCCTGCAAATGTTCGGGGTTTCTTTTCTGCTTTATCTCGGCTGATGCAGACTCTAAGGGAGGGTTGCCAACGACATTTGGGCAAGCTACCTTTGTCTGACTTGTGTGGTCGTATAATATTACATCCACCCACCCCGTGGTACCGCTTAAGTCGACCGGAATTCAGGTTTGTTGAACTGTTTTTATCAACGTCAACACAGCCCGTCGAAAGAGGCTGCTTGAGAAGGCAGTGCTGGTGGGTTGAGGATGGACGGGCAGTCAGGCATAAATGTGGGCTACTCTGGCTTTCCCTATCCGCTTGCGTCTTTGTTTCGATTTGCCTTCTCTTCCGGATCATTGAGTGCGCTCCGGCAGTTGATGACAAAGAGACCCGCCCTCGTCTGGAGGTAACAAGACTCAGGCAAAGTGGCTCATTTCCCGTAGACTCTCTCCAGTCGGAGTGACGAACGAGTCTGTCTACTCACGAGAGGGTTACAATAACCGGCAAACAATAACTTGCCTTGACAATGCATATCTCGGCTAAATCTGATAGCTGAATGCAGGTTGGCCAGACGGGAAAACTCGTAATTAAGCGGGTTTGGGAATTTCGCAGCTTCTTTTTGGAGGATCAGCACAACCTGCGTGGAACAGGGTCAGGTAAGACCGGCTATAAATCATGTCGGCGGTGTCGGTGAGATGAGGTGAGGTTGCGTCGGTGGTCTAGTTCGAAGGGGAAAACTTTTTGCTTAGTAATAATTCATCGGAAAATTAAGCGACCTGAAGTGATTTGGGTTATTACGCAAGCTTTGTTGGCCGTTTCTAAGCCTATTCAATCTGTATGTCTTCCTATATTGTTAGCCAAGCAGAGAAGACTGTTGCCTTTAAGATGCTCTGGGAAATAAGTTGGCAGAATGGCAGCATTTCAGAGTCGGATACGTCTACATAGTCTTCAAAGACCAGAGATGCATAAGTACGGACGAACGAAAGACTAAACTTACTTCGTCCCTGAGTTTTTCCGGATACTACATGCCAGACTGGACAAGTGGTTGCTTTATTTTATTATATTTAACATACGATATATTCGTCTTCCATGTATTTTCTTTTCAACAAAGCATGAAGAAGCCAAAACTTTCCAGTAAATAATATTTGAAGATACGAAAAAATTTGGATTTTGAGGGATCGCCTGATTTTTAATTGTTGGGCTAAAATCCACCGTCGATCCCACCAGAGAACAAATGCGTATTCTTCTTGACAAACTGTTATATGTCGTTACTGTACAGTCTGGTCGCCGCTTTCCATGAGGTAATCTTCTTCGATTTCTGTGAAAACGTGTTAAGCTTTCATTTTTAATTCCATTTAACGAACATGATAAAGGTAAGATGTCATTCTTGCAACTAATTTGAGCTCAAGAAAACTTAGTGTCTTGTCCCTATATTTTCAGTACATGATATAGTGAAAAGCAAAGTTAGTATCTGAGGCGTATCTACCCTATTACGATTTAAGTAATAGGTAGACTTAACATTTCCAATGAATTTCGAATACCCTCGCTTCGTTAAAAGTTATTCTCATCCAAGCTAGACTGGACGGCAGATTCAATTTCGCTAAGTCCCATAAGCACCCCCAGTGGTACTCGAACAATAACAGTTCGACTATACGCTTCACTACCATAACTCTGATTCGATTCCCGCTGGGAGTGCCGATGAGACATAGGCGATGTCAAAACTGCAGTCCACCCTGAATGAGAATACCTTGTGGGAAAGTAGGGCTATGTTAAATTTAAGTGAAACCTAGGTCTATACATATCCTCGTGGGAAAATTGAACTACCAGTACTTCATCACATCAAGCAAAATAAGGTGAACATATTTCATATATATGATTTATTGGCAGTCTCGAAACCTTACTAACAAATGAAATAAAAGAAATTTTAGCACATTTTCATCGGAATTGAAGTGGATTTGCTCAGTGGCAGCGACAACCAGAAAGTGCCTATAGAGCCACACAACAGATCACCAAGAGGGATCCGTCATTATCTTCCGGTAGGATTGACATATGAGCCTCTTCAGCCTACACTTTTACTCCAAATGTGAGGGAGTACAACAAGTATACTAGCTATATACATAAATACAAATGCAAATTTTAATGATTTTACTGCTTGGGTAAAAATGGGATTTTTATCAAGCCTTAGTTAGTTCAGAATTGTAAAATACTCGCAAAGTTACATGAAACTAAGTGGTAAAACAAGCTGTTGTTTTTAGTATGACATAAGTTGTACAATTTCATAAAAGAGTTTTTGTCATCCACAACATTCCAGACCTAATTTTATGATTGCATTGATGGTCAAATTGGCTCACTATGCGCCTTAGGCACTCCCTTGGCAGAGATTACGAGGCTCAAAATGGAAAAGAAATTGAAATGGAAGAAAGGATGAGTTAAATTATAAATCATTGGATAATTATCATCCCCTCTCCCGAGTGCTGAAGCCTGATCTTCCCTATCCAAAGTAGCCTGGTCAATTTGTACTCTTGTAATTAGGAGCAAATGGCCTGAAGGTTATTGAGTAATTGTCCGGTTTATTAACTTCTATGTTGAATATGGGTTCCACTAGTAGGTGGTATGTAAATTAGCCAGTTGAATTTTCAATAATAAAAATAAGGACTTCCTATACAGGCTGGGCTGCCGTTCCAACCTCGCGCCATCACTTCCTTAGCTACCTCAATAAGATTCGAAACCGGGTAGTGTGTGCAAAGTGGAGATTGCATCATTTGACGCTATTAGTCAAATTCTAATAATGTTCTCGAAATATAAGAAGTAGTTAAATTAGCCTAACTCAGAGTCTAGACTTGACGCCGGCTATGATTCGAAACTATTGTACGGAATATAAGTAGCATCGTCAATTGTAATGAAAAATCCACGCTTTCCCGATCCATTTTTCCAAGATAATTGTGATTTATGTGAAATCTAGTTTCTCCTTACACCTGCGGTTGCTTAGTGGAATGGTAAAACAGTTCCAGTTTATGCACTCGATCAGGTTTCGAATCCCGTCAGGCGATGCTGATGAGGTGAGATAAGAAGAGAAGTCCAACCTGAATGAGAAAACCCTTTGGAAGGTTAGTTTAAGTGAAATTAAATAGCACTTTAGAGCCTAGTCAATGCATTATCAAAAAAAGACTTCTATCAGTCCTTAATTCACCTTAAACGGCCTGGGCTGACTATGTAATATTTGTATTTTTGCTAGCCGTGGTACATGGCAGAAAAATAATGCTATTTTAAACGAATTACTTCTTCCGCTAGACAGGCCGACAAATGTGTAGAGTTGGCAAGTTGATACTGAATCTTCATATAACGTTCCCTACTGTTAGACCCTAAAGTCGACATAGAGTCAAAGAATAAGATCATCATAAAAACCTAACTTCACAACCGGCCAGACAGGCATAACTAATGCCGCATAAATGGACAGAGAATTAAGATGTGGCTGGCGATTGTTCGGAATTTGGTCGCAATCTTCTGTCAATGTACAGAGCTAGGCTCACCACGTGGATAAAAATTGCTCACGGTTACAAGGGGACTTTGTAGAATGTACATCGACATGGGCATTTAGTCAATATATCCTTCAGTACTTCCATTAACAATCGTTGTTTAGGCAAATTCCTAGTCGTTGCTTCCACCGCATTCCCGGCAACCTCAATGTGAAGATACTCCCAGAGCTTCATACTCTTCTTCCCTCTATGGTGTACCGCTTAGCCAAGCCCTTGTGTCTTTCATTTTCTAGTCAAGAAAATTTTAATTACGAACTATATTTGGGCCCAAGAACTTCAAAATTTGGACCCAACGAAGACCGAAAAAAGATTCCTTTAGGATTATGGCAGTGTATTTGCTTGAAGAAATCTTTCTGCCCGGCTGGAGAGGAGTAGTATGACTTCACACCATTCATACCAGATGGTGAGTACATAGAATAATGGTGTGGGTACATACATCACATTATGCTATACATACTCCATTTTGATGCTTTCATGGGCACAAGGTACTACATAAACA